AGAACGTCACCGGATAATCTGAAGGGCATAAATTAACTGCAGACTTTATTAGGATCTTCTGGTGAATTTTAAATCATTTAGAGAAGAGATTCATATTTGTTACATATTTTGTAAAATAAGCAATTTTTTCATAGATGAGGACTTCACTTAACAAACAAACAAAATATCATGTACTGTGCTCTTAAAGAAGGGGGAAATTATCAGTAAACCCCTAAAACAGCATTTTGTTACATGCTGAAAACATGCTGTAAAGTTTAGCACTTTGATACGGGAGTCTCCAGATACTGAACTTCAGAGCCAGCCCCAAGTTCCCACTAGTGGAACTGCAGCTGTTCGCACTTCTGCAAAATGTAGGCTCTCTAATGAAGAATTTAACTGCTTTTTGCTGCTGTGAACATCCATCACCTTGTGTTACAAACTCTGATCTTTCTCTGGGTTAACAGGTGACAAGGGTCAGCCAGGTGCACCTGGTCGTCCAGGACGACCTGGAGCTCCTGGTTTCCCTGATGTGAGTAAAGGGCTGCCGGGAGAACCTGGCCTTTCTGGGGAAACAGGACTTCCAGGCTTCTCTGGACAAAAAGGAGAATCTGGAATTATGGGATTCCCCGGCACTGTGGGACCAAAAGTAAGAAAAGATGCATATACATGTAGCAAATTTTGCCAGGCAGAGATTAAAATTCGGATGTTTGTTTGTTTGTTTTTAGGGCAATAATGGCTTTCCAGGTTTATCTGGAAGGCCTGGAGAAGTTGGTCGGCCTGGTGCCAAAGGTAAGAGTACATATTAGTGCTGTTGGATATAACGATATGCATCGGATGATGATATGAAAACATCTGTATTACACTATCATTTGTTTCGTTGTGTTCCAAAATAAACTGTTTACGGCAATATTGTAGTGGCTATATTCATTTCTAATAGTTCTCACTTTCTCTTATATTTAAAAAAAACGCACTATGCATGGGCAAGCGACTGTTTTCATGCATTGTTGTTTGCAGCATGTGGCTCCGCCATCCGCTTGTTTATTTTCCACATAAAAGTGTCACAATAAAGCCGAAGATCCTGTTCCAACTTTTCAAAATAAACTGACGTGATGATAATATACAGTATTCTCAAACGTCAAATTTTGGAGTATGCATTAATGAAAATACCTAAAATAAGGTACACGACACCCAGCTTCACGCAAGTTGCCCGAGATTCACAGAATTTACAGAAAATGTTACATTTTTGTGATTTATATCGTTGTCGGGACGATAAACGTGTTATATCAGGATATGAGATTTTGTTCATATTGCACAGCACTAGTACATATGAAGTCTACCATCAGTGATAAACATCTTCTTTACATCTGTTCATAATCAAATCAAACATCCATTGACTTAAATGCTTTTTTCTCTTAGGACTACCTGGAGAAACTTTTGGTTATCCTGGAGCACCAGGACTTAAAGGCCGACAAGGAGATTCAGGGATCCCAGGTAAGACTCACCTTACTCGGTTACGGTGAAACTTTATTTGTCATGGCCATTGATCAGCAACCACTGATCAATGGCCATGAGTACCATTCACAGAGAGTTGGGGAA